TAACGCCGAAACAAGATGGAAGCCATTACAAATGATACGCAGAAAGAGGAGGCTGCTTTCATATGTTGCAATCACAATACATACATACATCTCTCTCTCTCTCTCTCTCTCTCTATATATATATATATATATATATATATATATATATATATATATATATATATATATAGGAATGTTTATGTGTTTGTTTGTAGGGTAAGAATAATATCCTCACAAAAATTGAAAAGGATGTGACAAAGTGGAACATTTATGAAACGACGCGTTTCGCCCAAAGCGTATACTAACTTGTGTTTCCTCTGTTTAGAATGAAAGAAAGACAACTCTGAGTGTGATGAAAATGCCTTGGTGTCTCTTAGAATAATAGGGAATCATAAATCAAATTACATTATATTATATTATCACTTCCATGCCCAGAGTTAAAAGAATGTCTGTCTGCTTATTTTTTGTTTGTTTTAACTATAGTTATATTAGTGCCGTTTGGCATTGTTGGATTATATATATATATATATATATATATATATATATATATATATATATATATATATATATATCTCTCTCTTTCTCTCTCTCTCTCTCTCTCTCTCTCTCTCTCTCTATATATATATATATATATATATATATATATATATATATATATATATATATACTTGCATATACGTGTACATATATACACATCCACCCAGACGAATACACATACAGTGGGCGATGAAAAAAATGTGGTCTAAATTACGCAAAAAAGAAAATAGCACTGGTATCTCATTTTACAATATATATTTAGCTAGACAAAATATATTTAGCTACACAAAAGTATCTTACTAAAGAGTAAATTTATTCCATAAAATTGCCATTTGCTTGAGCCAGATGACTTCTGAATCTTCTGGAATCCTTCTGAAGGGTCTCTTTGTTTCAGCTAATGAATGGTACCATCATCCATGCCTTAAGTTTGTTTTGATGTTCAAAGGAGATTTCTTGGTCTCTCGCTCAACTGCACATAATAATCAAAGGTGTTGCAGTTCAAGGAGTGAGGTGGACAGATGTCATGGCGTGAATATATAGTTGTCTGCAACATTTAGAAATTAGGATGCAAACTAGGAAATACAGTTGTCAGCAAGATTTAGAACGAGGATGCAAACTACGAATATAAAGCTGTCAGTAAGATATAGAACCCAGGATGGAAACTAAAAATATAAAGTTGTAAGCAAGAAATAGACCCCAGGATGCTAAATACGAATATACAGTTGTCAGCTAGATTTAGAGCGCATGATGCAAACTATGAATAGGCAGTTGTGCGCAAGATTTAGGGCCCAGGATGCGAACGGCGAATACAAAGATGTCAGCAAGATTTAGAGTACAAGATGCAAACTACGAATAAAAATTTGTCAGCAAGATTTAGATCTCAGGATGCAAAATACAAATATATAGTTGTCAGTAAAATTTAGAGCCCAGGATGCAGAATACGAATATAAAGTTGTGAGCAATATTTAGAGCCCAGGCTACGAAGGACGAACATAAAGTTATCGCAAGATTTAGAGCGCAGGATGCAAATGAGGAATATACATTTTTCAGCAAGATTTATGGCCAAGGATGCTAAGTACGAATATAAAGTTGTGAGCAATATTTAGAGCCGAGGATACGAACGACGAATATAAAGTTATCTCATGATTTAGAGCGCAGTATGCAAATCAAGAATATACATTTTTCAGCAAGATTTAGGGCCAAGGATGCTAAGTACGAATATAAAGTTGTAAGCAAAATTTAGAGCCCACGATGCAAACAACGTATATACAGTAGTCAGCAAAATTTTAGAGCGCAGGGTGCAAACAGCGAATACACAGTTATCAGCAAGATTTAGAGCCAAGGATGCAAACTATGAATATAAAGTTTTAAACCAGATTCAGTGCCTAGGATGAAACAACGAATATATAATATATATATAATATAGTTGTCAGTAGATTTAGTGTGCAGGATGGAAAGTACGAATATAAAATTGTGAGCAAGATTTAGAGCCCACGATGCAAATTACGAATATAAATTTTTCAGCAAGATTTAGAGTCCAGGATCTAAACAACGAAAATACCGTTGTACGCAACATTTAGAACAGAAAACACAAAATACGAATATACAGTTGTCATCAAAAATTAGAGCCTAGTATGCAAATTCATAATATATAGTTGCGAGCAGGATTTGGTCCCCGGTATGCGACCTACAAATATAAATTGTAAGCAAGATTTAGAGCCCATCATGCAAACTACGAAAATAAATTTTTCAACAAGATTTAGACCCCAGCACGCAAACAACGAACATACATTCGTCAGCAAGATTTAGAGTTCATTATGCAAGCTACGAATATATAGTTGTACGTAAGGTTTAGAGCCCACGATTCAAATTACGAATATACACTTTTCAGCAAGATTTAGTGCCCAGGATGCAAACAGGGTACAGGAAGTTGTAAGCAAGTTTTAGAGCTCAGGATGCAAACTACGAAGATAGAGTTGTCAGGAAGATTTACAGCCTACTATGCAAAGTAAGAATATATAATTGTAAGGAGATTTTAGAGCACAGGATGCAAACAACGAATATTCACTTGTAAGCAAGATTTATAAACCATGATGCAAACTACAAATACACAATTTTGAGCAATATTTAGAGCTCAGGCTGCGAACGACGAACAGAAAATTGTCAGCAACTTTTAGAACCCATGATAAAAACTAAGAGTATAAATTTATCAGCAAGATGTAGAGCTCAGGATGCAAACTACGACTATAAATTTGTTAGCAAAATTTAGAGCACAGGATGCAAACTACGAATATACAATGGTCAGCAAGATTTAGAGCCCAGGATACAAACTACGAACATATAGTTGCTAGCAAGATTTAGAGCCCAGGATGCAAACTACGAACATATAGTTGCTAGCAAGATTTAGAGCCCGGGATGCAAACTACGAACATATAGTTGCTAGCAAGATTTAGAGCCCAGGATGCAAACTACGAACATATAGTTGCTAGCAAGATTTAGAGCCCGGGATGCAAACTACGAACATATAGTTGCTAGCAAGATTTAGAGCCCAGGATGCAAACTACGAACATATAGTTGCTAGCAAGATTTAGAGCCCGGGATGCAAACTACGAACATACATTTGTCCGCAAGATTTAGATCCCAGTATGCAAAAATACGAATATACAATTGTCAGAAGTTTTAGACATTAGGTTGCAAACTACGAATATACAGTTGTCAGCATGATTTACAGTCCAAGATATAAACTACGAATATAAAGTTGTTAGCAAATTTTAGAGAGCAGGATGTAAACGACGAATATAAATTTGCCAGCGAGATTTAGTGACCAGGATTCAAACCAGGAATATACAGTTGTCAGCAATATTTAGATCACAGTATGCAAACTACGAATATACAGCTGTCAGCAAGATTTGAGCCAAGGATACAAACTACAGATATAAAATTTCACATCAAGATTTAGAGTCCTGGATGCAAAAAACGAATATACATTTGGCAGCAATATTTAGACCCCGGGATGAAAAATACGAATATACAGTTTCTAACCATATTTATAGCCCAAGATATGAAATACGACTACAAAAAATTGGAGCCCAGGATGCAAACAATGTATATACAGTTGCCAGCAAGATTTATTGCCCAGGATGCAAAATACGAACATACAGCTAACAGCAATATTTAAATCGCAGGATGCAAGCTGCGAATTTTACAAAAAACAAAATTGTAACATCTGAGAATTCTTTCAGCAGTGGCCAGGAATATAACACCGAAATCTTAAGGCGCATTCAAGTATCAAATGGTGCCTTCTACAGGCTAAGCAAAGTATTAAGAGACAGGAAAATTGTTGAAACAGTATTGGACTGTAATGTAATTCTTAGTATATGGTAATCAATGCTGAGCAATCTTCTTTTGCTAACAACCACGCATTCAAAGGCTCATCGGGATAGTGAAAGATGTCTTCCATATTGTTTTTAATCATTTCACCCCAAGTCAGGCAATAAAGCCAGTAGGATGCAAGAAGTTGCTGTATGCTAAAGATGACGAAAAAAGTTACTACTAAGGAGCGATAAAAATGAAAGAAGAATAATTAAGCAGAGAGAAGATAGCGTTTATCATTACATTGACATTTTTGAAGATCAAAGTTGACTGGAAAACAAAAAATCAGAAGAGAATTTTTCAAGCACGAAGAAACTGTTAGCATAGAACTTACGGTTACATGTAGCCATTTGCTAAGCAAAGTATTAAGAAATAAAATAAATCGTTAGAAACAAAGAAAAGAGTAATGAACTTTTACGCAATATCTTACCCCCCCACCCTATATAGAAGTGAATGCTGGACAATCTTCATAAAGATTCTGGCAAAATAAACGTGGTACTACATAAGGATGCTGTGAATACTATGGAAGGATTATCTGAGCATCTAGCAAGTTTCAAGTAAGAGAGAAACGAAAAAGGATGCTTATACTTAGCACCGGAAAGAGTTCTTTGAAATTTCTAGGGGGCGTAATGAGGTGAAGCGGGCTTGGAGAATTTGACAATCACAGAACGAACTAAAGTCAAGAGACAGGGAAACAACGAGTAAGCTTTTATGAATGGATGTCGGAACTGGGATTTTGAAAGATTGTGAAAAGGCAACCTTAGGGCAAGGGCAACAAAAGATATGAAGCTGTGGAGGGACGTAATCACCCACGTACTGAAGGAACACGACACGTAGAAGAGAAAATAAATATGAGAATAATAGAATTAAAATAACATTCTTCTTCCGCTTAGTGTAATATCTTGATGAAATATGATTCTTGATCCTATTGTATTGAAAAATAAACTGTATTATTTGAAAGTATACATAAAAGAATTACGATGATATGTGGTAAGTTCAGATAAAATAAAATAAGTTTTGAAAAAAAATATATATATATATATATATATATATATATATATATATATATAAAGAAAGAAAAACAGACCACTTTAATGTTCCATTGCCATCACAAGGTGCTCAGAGATAGCATCCAGGGTATCACCAAGCCCGCTATTCGCCGTTTGGCTCGCAGAGGTGGTGTCAAACGTATCTCTGGTCTCATCTACGAGGAGACACGCGGTGTCCTTAAGGTTTTCCTTGAGAATGTTATCCGTGATACCGTCACCTACACTGAGCATGCCAAGAGGAAGACTGTTACGGCCATGGATGTGGTCTATGCCCTGAAGAGACAAGGCAGAACTCTATGGTTTCGGAGGTTAAATCTGAAACACTTCACGAAAGCTGAAAAAAAAATTCAATTTTTTTTCATCTTTCGTTTCATTTTTTGGAAGTGTTATTTGATGATCCAGCGTCCCTTAAAAGGACTCTGGTGAAATAAATTATTATAATGGAATCTTAAAGTGGTCTGTTCTTTTTAAATTATTATTTACATTGAGCTCTCAGGATTTCATCCTCCTTGGGACTACCGATATGGATTACCAAGTTTTTCACAACTTATATATATATATATATATATATATATATATATAAAGATTCCAAATGAAAATAAGGCATTTGCGCTTTCCTTTAAAACCCTAATCTATTTCTTTCTCTCTCTCTCTTCGCTCGATATACTTCTTTCTCAACTAAGGAGAAGGCAACCCTCAAAAAAAAAAAAAAAAAAAAAAAGCGGAAGAAGAAGAAGAAAATACTCAACTCGGCCGAAAAACGCTGGAAGTTTGCGAAACTAGAGCCTGCTTATTTCTGACAAAAATCTACCAAACAAAACAGGCTCCGCGCATAACGTTAAAAATTATCTAAAAAAAAACCCCCAAAAACAATAATAATAATATTAATAATAATAATAAAAACATTTTAAAAAAAGCCGGAAAATAATATAATTTTGGCAAATCAAAAAATGAACACAAATAGGCGTTTGATATCAACCGAAAGCAAGGTTCTCACCAGAGTCTGTTTGCCGGTCAAAAAAATATAAGCTCACTGCTCTAAGCTAGACGAAGAGAGTAACGGCAAGAGAAACAGCGAAACAAGACACGCGACCGCAAGTGAAACAAGCCATGTATCACGCGTAATTAAGAGGTCATCTTCTAATGATATTTATGCCCTACTTAGGACAGAGAAAAACACAGTAGATATAAACTGACCTTTTGTTTTAAAGACAACTATTACTAACAGCAAGTTCAGGCCACGAATCTACCCACTACCGAAGCAAAACGGACATTTCCCCAAACATCTTATATCCGCCTTATTAACAAACATTTTGCTACAGTGATTATCAAAGAACTTACTCTAATCCAAATTAATTAGATAAAAATCTATTATTTATTTCATACCTTTTAAGGGGTCCACACCTTTTTATACAAGTGGATTCGCCCAGTGTGTACTTGTACTGCTGCCGGTGAATACCCAGAAGTCGGAAGTGAGCGTGACAGTCAGACAGTGATACAGTCAGATAGTGAAGGAATGAGAGTGTGAGGTAACCGCTTTGTAGGAGTCACAGTTGCGAGCACGTAGACTCAGAAGGAAGTCATACTTCGATACTGAATTTCCCAGACTGTATATATATTATTATTGCTACTAACCGCATTTCTGGATCTACTAACCGTATTACCAATTGTATTATTACTTCAATACATTTATTTGCTATATTTCATTCCTGCGTTTGTCATTCATTTGAGACCGGATTTCAGCCCGGAATCCACAACAATACCTTTCGGTCATTTTGTTTTATTTTAAAGTTTGCGGTAAATAAATACCAAGACTATATGATATCCCCTCCTCCCCCAAAAAACAAAAAAACAAAAAAACAAACGTAAACTCATAGGATGCCAGCAATAGTTAATTATTGCAATAAAACATTTGTACTGAGATAGATTTGTATAATTTATTGATATATATACCTATCATTTTTGCTGCTATTACACTAGCTATCGAAAACTTGTGCATGCAAGTGGAATGATAAGGGATTTCGTTTTCTCTACCGAGAACGCAGTGAGTGCTGGACGATATCCTCAAAGATGAAGATGAGACTTGAAGCAACAGAAATCTGGTTCTAGAGAAGGATGCTGAGGATACCATAGATCAAACATGTGAGCAACGACGATGTTTTGGAGAAAATGGTAACAAAAAGGAAACTTATCAGGAAGCGACAATTGAGGTCGCTGAGACCTATAATGAAGGAGGAGAGCTTGGAGAATCTGACACTCACGGGACAGTTTGAAGGCAAGAGGGACAGAGGAAAACAACACATAACGTACATAGTGATTCTGAATAAATGGATGGTAGGGCATGGCTTAGGAAAAATAGTAGAAAGACAAAGTTTATTGAGAGGTGCAAGGGACAGGAAATTGTGGAGAGCCATGATTGCCTAAGTGATGAGAAGACATGGCACCTAAAGGAGAAGACAGCGATAGATGTTTGAAACTAGTTTAAGAACTAAGAATTTGAATCCTGATTTTGAAGCCATGTAGACATTCTGCATAGTATAGGTTTCTACAACACACCTCCTATGTTTCTTTCCAAAAATTTTCGGCCTTGTGCCAGACATTTTTAAAAATATTTTATAACAATACTTTGCTGCGAAAGATTTAGATTCTAATTTTTTTATTCTGTACTTTCGCCAACCATATTTAATACACTTTGATTTGTTTAAGGAGCGATCTCTTTTACGTGATGAGCAATAAACTTTTCCACTCTAGAAAGTATTTGTAAATGTTTGGATCTCAGGAAATATTTTCTTGTTTTGTTTTTGAACTTCCATTTGTACCATTTACGTGTGTAAATTTGAATTACCTCCCTTTGATTTTATTTCTCTTGCGGCCATATTTGTACTTTGAGAATTGTAAGTTACAATGAATGTAGAATTGAAAAGAAAAGAAAAAGGACGAAGAAAATATTCTAGAGTAGCTCACGATTCGCCTTCACAACACAACAAAGAGAAAAAAGGAAATATTCATAAGACAAATGGAAGATATTTTGAAAGCTTTTTCCGGTTCTTAACTTCTTACTGATGTTTTAGCTGTGCGTCAGGCTGCTTCTTTATAAATTTATGAAAAAAAGAAAAATCCAGAGATAAAAAAATAGTGTTATTACTTTGGAGAAATACTCCAAAAAATGGGGTAGAAGAAGACGAACGCATTATCAGGTTATGTGTTCACATATGTTACTTCGTGTCGACGCAAATACAAGAGAGATAAAAAGCATGGTGAGATCTAAAATTTGCAAATACAAAGTTAAAAGGGAGGTATACCCTTGTGAAAATTAATTGAAACAAAAAGAATAATCCCGTTATTATTTACTTTTTTCCATATTTTCCAATGAAACATGACCCGGCGCACATGTTAGTACTTCGTATGTCCATTCCACGAAGTCGTTCCTTGTACATTGATTCTCGGTCGGATTTAAATCAGGAGTTTCCGGGCAAGAACTTTGATTTGCTCACTGGAAAAAAAAAACTTGCCATTGTGTCCGTGCAGCGTGACAATTTTTGTACGCTTCCTTGGAGTAATGTCCATCGCAGACAAAAGAACGTAGGACAACTAATCGATAGTTGAGACAATAGTGTCTAGGCGTGATAAAAATTTTATGCAATTATTCATGATGCAATATTTTTCAAGGCCAAACAATTTTCATCATACGCCTTGAAAATAGATTCATATTGCTGCACACCACTGCAAAAGAGCTAATCTGAGGCAAAAATAGAAATCGCTTACACCCTGTCACTCCAGTGGGTCTAAAAATGACCACATTGTGAAAGAAAGGAAACTAAAGCCGTTGTTTCTATTGATTTGCACAAGGGTGTATATTTGCTGTGATGTTACCGTATCAATATTTTATGGGTAATTTTTAAATTATTTCTGAACAATATTTTATGTATAAGACATTTTTTAGTTGGAAAATACTTTGTATGTTTATGAAAGTGCAAAAATGGAAATCTGTAAGAATGACGGCAGAAACAATGTGTAACTAAATTGACCATGTTTTACTACCACTGACATCAAAATATTTCAACGAGTGTAAAGCGTGGGTGTGTAAGAAAATTTTTTTCTTTATATGCCGTTTACCCTCAAGACGTAGGCGATCATGGCTCTCCAAAATTTCCTGTCCCTTTCAGCTCTGTCTTTTCCTTATTTCTAAACCCTGTTCCGCCACCTATTTTCTTATGCTCGACAAGTATGTTACGCATTGTTTTCCTCTTACTCTCTTGCCCTCAATCTGACCTGTGTGTATTAGGTTTACCAATCCTTCCATCCTCATTATCTTCCCCAGAAATTTCAGAACACGCCGACTGCACATCTGCGGAAAGGTAAGCTCCGCTCCAAATGAAGCGTCCTGGGTAAGACGATAAACTACATCCAACAGCAAGGCCTCTAATCAGGAGGTTTTGAGAAGCGTGGGACCACCTCTTAATTGCTGGTGTTCCAAGGTCCACTCTGACCCGGGATGGTAGCACCTGTCAGTATCCCAACTATAGGCAAATAGTTGACACTAATCTTGGGTCAAAAAACTATGAAAGTGTAAAAATAGATTTTAATACCATCAATACATTTTTGTAATAATATTACCAGTAATGAATTTTTGAACAAAAAATATTACCAGTAATACATTTTTGAATTAAAAAATATTAGCAGCAATACATTTTGAGGAAAGAAAAAATATATATTAGCAGCAATAAATTTTTGATAAAAAATATTACCAGCAATAAAAATCTTGTCGACATTAAATAAACCATTGAGGATGATATTCAGTAAAACAAAACAAAACAAAACAAAGCAAAATTAAACAAAACGAAACCATAAATTTCGACTGTCTCTTCCTTGTTTCCCTTGTGTTTCCATTTTCTTTGGAACCTCACCGTTGCTCACATGTTCGGTCCATGGTATCCTCAGCATCTTTCTGTAGAACCACATTTCTGTTTCTTCAAGTCTCTTCATATTTGAGGAAATTGCCCAACATTTCCTGCCACACAGGAGGACAGAAATCACTTAACAGTTCAGTACACTTTGCTTTGTTTATATCGAAGTTTTTGTTAATATTTGCTTAGCTTTTGGAAGGCATCTTTGGCTATCGCAATGCGTCTTTGGATTTCAGTATCGCATTTTCCGTCCTTTGTTAGAACCGTTGCAAGATATTTAAATTTTGTACTTGGTAGATTTTGGTAACTCCGATTTGTAATTTG